AAAAAAGTATGGTAATACTTGAATGCTTTTGTTCTGTTGATGTTTGGTATGGACTGTCAACATATACGTTTTTTTATATGTACCATATCTTGTGCTGACCCGGCCCACCTGTCAAATTTAGAAATCAATGTGGCCCCCGAGCTAAAAAGTTTGCCCACCCCTGGGTTAGACAGTAAACTGCAGGCGGAGGAACATTTAGAAAGGTGGCGGCTTGCATCGGGTTTTGCGTGAATAAATCAACAACCGAGCGAGTGACCAATTCTGGTTCAGCCCGATCAAGACTTTGTGCAAAGACTTTGAAGGCCAGCATGCACGCGACAAGCGCTTCGGAGCAGTTTCAATCGCCTCTTGCTGTCCAACAGTGTCCATTGTGTTGGAGCGTCGTGACAAGCCAGAGCTGGCGCTTTTGACTTTCAACGATTCGACGACACGACCTCTTATCTGCACACCAGCAGGGCAGGCGGGCACTCAGGATTCCAATAAAACACGCGCGCGTGTAAATATTGACTTGACATGAAAAGTCAATCACACAACACAAACGGATGAGACTCCTGCCTTTATTCCTGTCTTCTTCCCCGGAGGTGGCAAAACTAATCACTCGGTACAGGTACTTGTGTAAAAATAAATTCCATCAAGTTTTTAGTGGCGACCCAAATAAATATTTCACGGTTGGATCTCTGCAACGGAATAGTAGGCATCTTAAATGCCAAAGCCCATCCCCACAAGGAGCAAAAGCACCGTCATTCATCCCGCGTAAACGTGACGATGACGCTACCGATCTCTCGAATGAAAATTGCAACTCTTCAAACTGTAATCACGGGTAGTCAGGAAGACCTCGTTGGTATCCGCAATCTTCATCCCCAACAGACAAACTCGCTCGCCCCGGAAAGGTTCCTCCCGATGAAGTGTGTGAGCCCACCTGTTCCTCAGTGATGCTCCTGGCAGGCGCGTTGGGTCCGAGCTCCTTGAGAGGGTAGATGATCTGACGGCGGGGACGCACGGGGACGGCGCAGTCCAGGACAAAGTCCAGATGATCCACGCAGCCGTCCTGAGAGCGCAAGGGGGAAAAGCCGTTCAACTGAGCTCCGATCCCGACCCGCTCTCCGGGGACGTCGTCCGGCCCACCTCCCGGCCCGAGCCCAGCGGGTACACGCGGTGGTAGAGGCTGGACTTGCGGGCCAGCCGCAGCGCCTCCTTGAACAAATGTCGGCTGAAGTGTTGGAAGCAGCGGCGGAGCACAAAGTGGCGCAGCTGAGCGTGCTCCTGCGCGCCGTGATGGCTGAAGTAGATGAAGTTCTCGATATTGTAGCGGGCCCGGATGTACTCCATGTCCTGGCGGGGCAACAGCAGACGCCGTCACCGACTACTGGAGGAGAGGATTTACGCACACGACACATTTTTTTTTGGTTTTTTTTCGCCTCGAGTATCGGTGGCTGCGATCAGCGGTCCTCACAGAGATCCGACACCTTGACGTCAGGCAGGAACTGGCCCGAAACCATTTTGGGGGAAGAAATTCAACCTTCACCCTAAACTCAAATTGTCAATTGCAATGTGGGAAATGACAATTGGCAATTTACGTGGACACAGGTGGGATTCATGTTTAACTGGCAAACAAACTTGTGGAAGCATACCATCTCATCTCTGATGATCAGCATCCCCGCCAGGGCGCCGTCCACGTCGGCCACAAAGGCCTGCAGAGGACACTCGGCCTGCGTCAGGAGACATGCATCAGGACGGCGCGCGCGGGTCAGGGTCAGGCCGCCGTCAACGTGTGCGCGTGTGCCAACCGCATCGGCTTGGTTGTCGAAGAGGAGATCCAGATCCCGCAGCAGGGCGACTCTTCCCCTCCTCACGCGGCGCACCAGGTCGGCGAGGCCGTCCCGGTCGGACTCCAGCGCCGGTCGCACGTTGACGCTCCTGCAAGCACACCGGCGGCACGTTGAGGACGCGCTGGCACGGATGGCGGGAAGGCCTCGGCCGCCCCCGTCGCGGTGGAGCCCACCTCAGCCCGTCGCGGTGCAGAATGTAAAGGTCGGAGGGCAACAGGCTGCCGGGTCGCGGAGGAACTCTCAGGAAGTTCTGCAGGAGCGGGAAGTCCAGAGACATCGTAGGGACCGTGATGATGCAGAAGTCCAGATCCTGGTGGACCGTTACCAGGCTGAGCGTTAGATTCGTCTCATGTCTTAGGTGTTTGCGTGACATGCGTGCTGCGGGACTCTTATCTTTGTGTTCTATTTGAGTGAAATGTGTGTTACGTGTCTGTGACATTTGTGTTACCTGTGTGTTTCATGTCTTGCGTATCTCTCACATTTGTGCTCCTATCGTGTTATGTTACATGTGTGTGTGCGATGTGTACGTCAGCGTTGTGTTATAGTCGTGGCAAATGTGTGTTGCAGTTGTATGCGTGCGCTACGTGTCGCGTGTGCTACATGAGCATGTTGGAGACCGCGATGCACACTCACTGGGAAGAGTTGGAATATGTATGGAATCAAGTCCAGTGATCTGGAAGAAGAAGAGGAGGAGGAGTGAAACCAATCTGCTGGTCGGCATGGCAACACAACGGCCTTCCGTCAGCTCAGAACCAGCCGGTGAAGGCAACGGTCACGTGGCCTATGGTCGGAGGACGATCATCCAACTGCGCATCTTTACTCCGATCTCAGCTTGGGAGTTGCGACATTCTCGTAGTCGGGAACACACTCTGGGAAAACGTGACTTCCGAGGCAAAGGAATGCCAGAAAAAAAAAAAAAAAAAAAAAAGTCTGGTCCTCACCTTATCTCGTAGTTCTTCTCCGAGAAGAAGAACTGGATACAGAAGGCGTTGGGTTCCCCTGAGATTTCGTCAGATGTTGAAGACAGAACCTCCTCGTCCTCCTCCTGAGGACGACAATCAGTTCTTGTACTCCCGCCATCATAGACCTTCATTATGATGCTGTCGACCGTAATTATGACTTGTTGTTTTAATACCTGGCATTCTTGTTGTCCTTCTGATTCGGGTTCTTCTAGAGGTTCTTGCTGCGGTTCTGGTTGCGGTTCTTGCGGCGGTTTCTCCGCTTCATGAGGATGAGGGTCAGCATCGCTTTCAGAGTCGTCCGTGTCGTCGGCGTCCTGCTTGGCTTTGCACAAGCCGCCAAAATGCTTCAGGTCGAAATGTTCCTGCAGTCGCCTCACGTCCACCTCTGCAGTGACGCTGATGAAACCGGTGATGGTGCCGTCGCACTTGCCAGGACAACCACAACAACAGCGTCAGCGTCATCATCAACATCAACAACAAGACTCATCTCCAACGTTTTTTTTTTTCCCCCCACCAAATCCCTCACAGCACACATTGAACAATTGTACGTACGTCGTCCTTCACGATGTCACGGTGACTGATTTTTTTTTTTTTCCTAAGGACTCTACTTCTGTCATTATTTTGCAGTGATTAATTTCCCGACATGGACTGTTACTGCAGACTCACGCGGCGAACGAGCACGAGCCAAGAAAGTGACGACGACACACCTCGCACACGGCGGCGTGGTTGTTCTTGTCCTGGGCCTCGATGAGCTCCGACAGGAAGTAGGGCCGCTGCAGGACCGACAAAATCTTCGTCTGCTGAGCCACGATGTGCATGACGTCATCGTGGTCTTCAACCCTGACGCAGACGTTGCCCGATTTAACACGTGACACTGTTACCTCGTGAGATAGCCAATTAGTGGAATGGGAAGACAGCTTCCACCTAAATCCAATCTATTCTGCTCCACCCAGTGACCGAAATCATCACAGCAGCAACAACAACAATTTTCCTTGCGTGTGCGTGTGTGTACTCATGTGAAATGACCTTGCAGGCCGGACATAAAGTCTTGGACAAAGTCTTCGTCGGTGACACACGAATGCCATCAACTCAGCTGCTGCTTTGTCTTTTTCGTCCTCCTCTTCTTCTTCTTCTTTTTCTTCTTCAGTCAGACGCTGCAGAGGCTCCAACAACTCGTCCAATGCCGCATCTGCACATTCACACAAACACACACAAACACATTGAGTTGATAGAATGGACAGTGCCTTCACAGTGCCGTCTTGAATTACCTAAGCAGACCGATGTTGAGCTCAACAGGCACACGAAGTCCAGCTCAGCAGTGGTGTTGAACACGGCACTGTGGGGCACCGACAACACACAAAAGCACACTATTGTTATCAGCGAGTCCTGAAAACGAATGCCGTTTTTCAACAAATCATCTTTTGTTTATTCATCGACGGTTTATCGTGACAACTAGAACACCAGGTACAATAAACCGTTGCCGCTATTTGCTCTGGTTGGCCTATTGATGGGTTGTATAATAACATTGATGTGTTTGTGCTGATTAAAAAGGATGCATGAAGTTCCCACTGAAGGCCCAGGAACCAAATGCACAAGCCGCCATCGGTGTGATTACATTGGAGGCACCTCATGATGTGCTGAAAGCTTGCGGCGGAGAAGGCGGTCTGGGACACAAACAGATGAAGGAAGAGTGTGTTCCATGGCTGAAGGAGGACAACAATAACATCACAAATCACAGCGCGCAGCGTGTATTTTTCACCCATGTACACACATACACACACACACACACCGTCAAGGCGTCAGCTTTTAAGTGCTTGCAAAAGAAAGATTCCCAGTGAGGTGGATCAACCAGTGAGGTGACGGGATGGTCAAAGAATGACGCGTGGGCCATCACGTCACCTTCCTCGCTGGCCAAGGTCACCGCCAAGTTGGCCTTCTCCCTATGCCGGGCAGAAGAAGAGCAAAGTCATCACGGCCATTTGGACTGCCATCATATGGTTTGCACTCACAGGAGTTGAAGGACATTGATGGGACCAAAAAGCTCCAAGGCTTCGGGGCTGAGGAGGTTTTCAATGGCTTCGGCATCTGAACATTCACTCCTTCTCACTGTCACATTTGCCACCTGACCGCTGCTTGATGTGATTGTATTATTCATCTTGTCTTCAAACGGCTACTACGTTCACAAATAAAACACCGCCATTTTCGAGCATCCGAGACAATAACGGACCAAAAATGTAAACAAGAGGCTCCGTTTCCCCTACTTTTTTAAAAGGAACTGACTCAACTCATTGTCTCGTCTGAGGAGTTCAATTTAAAGATAAATTAGTGAGAAAACAACATAAAAGAAGAACATATTCTAATACTTTTCTAACTCCTAACGGATCGCCGAGCCCCGTGCCTTCACGCTTCTCGGTCCTTCGACGCAAACGTCGTTGTTGTGGCAACCGGAGGTTGGAACGCCTTCTGGCGTGTCATGTGACGTCAGGGATAAAAATTGAAAGTAAAGTAGAGGAAAACAAAATTGAAAATACAATCTAACGCCTGAATGGGGTCCAAGCGTTCACTTTTTAAAAAAAATATTATTATTATTATTTTTAAATTATTATTTTAAGAAAGTAAATATCGGAAACGGAAGTCGCAAAGCATTCTGGGAACTGTCATGGTGGCTCGCTTGTGCTCCACGAAACGTTTCGGCGCCTCTCTGACTTGTGATTGATTTTTCCGCGGGTAATTTTAAGAATAGAATCGACTAGTTTCTTAAATATTTGGTTGGCAAAATGGCCTCGACGGCGGCTGGCAAGCAGCGAATACCGAAGGTGGCGAAGGTAAGATGTAACGCAAGCAAGAGAAGGACCGCGGGTGCTAGCTGAGCTAATGCTAACGCTAACAAGCAGCTCTTGGACTTTCGTGTCAAAAGTAAACCAGGGAACTGTCAAATGTGTTTGTGTTTCAGGTGAAGAACAAAGCTCCGGCGGAGGTGCAGATCACCGCCGAGCAGCTCCTCAGGGAAGCGAAAGAACGAGAATTGGAACTTCTGCCCCCGCCACCGAAACAAAAGATCACCGACAAGGAAGAACTCAACGACTATAAGCTGAGGAAGAGGAAGGTGTGCAGCCACACGGACGGATCGACTCCAAAATCTCCTCTTTGTTTACCCCAACAACCCCTGAGAGTTTGCTTACTTTGCAGGCGTTTGAGGACAACATCCGAAAGAACCGCACAATAATCAGCAACTGGATTAAATACGCACAATGGGAGGAAAGCCTGACGGAGATCCAGAGGTATTTTATCCAAACGTTCAAAATGGGTTTTTATTTTAGGTTTCGATGTTGGCGTAGTCAGGGCCAGCGAGGCCCTCTCTGCTGGCTAAACACGACCAGAAGCACTAATCTACGTTCATTTGCATTAATCATTGGGAATGTTATTTTTATTTTTTTAACAAAGTGAGTTTGGGGTTTTTTGTTGTTGTGAGATAAATGTTGATTTTGAACTGCTCCAGATAATTTGCCTGGCACATTGGAGTGCTGTCATATGGTTTTGAGTTTGGTACCAAATCTGTCGCCCGGCTCGTCATTGGCTATCTCCATCCCGTGCGCCACTTTAGGGCTCGCTCCATTTACGAGCGCGCGCTGGATGTGGATCACCGCAACGTGACCCTGTGGCTGAAGTACGCCGAGATGGAGATGAAAAATCGGCAGGTGAACCACGCGCGCAACATCTGGGACAGAGCCATCACCATCCTGCCCCGTGTCAACCAGTTCTGGTAAACAAAAAGCAAAGGGCATGTTGCCCCCGCACCCCCACCCCATTGGGGGACATTTTCACAGCGACTTTGCTTGGCGGCAGGTACAAGTACACATACATGGAGGAGATGCTGGGCAACGTGGCGGGCTGCAGGCAGGCCTTTGAGCGCTGGATGGAGTGGGAGCCCGAGGAGCAGGCGTGGCATTCCTACATCAACTTTGAGCTGCGCTACAAGGAGGTGGACAAAGGCCGCAGCATCTACGAGCGATATATCCTTCTCACGCTGCCCGCTGGCTACGGTGCCCCGTCCTTGTCTATCGCTCCCTGCCATTTCATCTAGCCGATAACTATGATCTCAACCGCCTTTGGGAAGGGGAAAAAAAAAGTCTTTAACTGGTGCGCACTCGTCATGGTCCACCCCGAGGTGAAGAACTGGATCAAGTACGCTCGCTTCGAGGAGAAGCACGGCTACATCGCTCACAGCAGAAAGGTGTTCGAGCGCGCAGTGGAGTTCTTCGGTGAGGAGCACGTGGACGAGAACCTCTTTGTTGCCTTTGCCAAGTTTGAGGAGACTCAGAAGGAGGTCAGTTGTTCCTTTTGGACACAAATGGTTATTAGTATTACATATCTCGCTGCATCTTGGTGTCGAGGAAATGTGTTGATGAATTTTATTGAGGCAAAACGAGAGCTTTGACACTCTCATGTGGGGTGATTGGGGTTCAAAGTTTTGGGGGGGGCGTCAAATTTAATGATGGTCACTTTCTCCATGACGAGCGAAAATCTGAGTAATTGCCACCCCTGGAAAAAAAAAAAAGATTGATAACTTCCCATTAATGCCACAAGATCGCAACAAAGCAATACTTTTGACACGAGTGTTTCCGATGTTTCTCCCCCCCCCCCCCCCCCCCGCCAATGGCATCTACAAGTACGCTTTGGACCGGATCCCCAAGCAGCAGGCCCAGGAGCTCTTCAAGAACTACACCGTGTTTGAGAAGAAATTTGGAGACCGACGGGGCATCGAGGACGTCATCGTCAGCAAGAGGAGGTTCCAGTATGAGGAGGAAGTCAAGGTAGGTGGGCGGACTGAGTCCCATTACAGCCAAGGCTGTCCTCTCTCACTTTGGCCGGTGTGTCCGCGAAGGCCAACCCGCACAACTACGACGCCTGGTTCGATTATCTGCGGCTGGTGGAGAGCGACGCCGATCCCGACACGGTGCGAGAGGTGTACGAGCGCGCCATCGCCAACGTGCCGCCCATCCAGGAAAAGCGCCACTGGAGGCGCTACATCTACTTGTGGATCAACTACGCCCTCTATGAAGAGCTGGAGGTCACGGTGAGTTTGGAGCAGACGGCGTGTCGTTTAGGTATGCGCTTCGCTGGACAACCGAGAGATGTTTTGGCGGTCAAGCAATTTCATGCTCGGTTAAGATTGAAAACGCTGCGTTTGCATTTGTGGGCAGGACGTGGACAGGACAAGGCAAGTCTACCAGGCCTGTCTGGATCTGATCCCTCACAAAAAGGTAATCGCTTGAATGACGACAACGGCTGATCATGTTGACTTTGACGGCTGTCTTCTCTGTGACTCAGTTCACCTTTGCAAAGATCTGGCTGCTGTACAGCCAGTTTGAGATCAGACAGAAGAACCTGCAGGGTGCCAGAAAGGTCATGGTAAGACTCACATATGTCTTCCAAACGTGGTTGACACTTGAAAATGAAATGGCCAAGCGCTACCAACTAAGAACGGGCACTTGATGTCGTCAGCACGTCAACATGGTCGCTTTTGGACTCTCCAGGGCACGGCGATCGGCAAATGTCCAAAGAACAAACTGCTGAAGGGCTACATTGAGCTGGAGCTTCAGCTGCGCGAGTTCGACCGCTGCCGGAAGCTCTACGAGAAATACTTGGAGTTCACGCCGGAGAACTGCACCACCTGGATCAAGTTTGCCGAGCTGGAGACCATCCTGGGCGACGTGGATCGGGCGCGCGCCATCTTTGAGCTCGCCATCGGACAGCCGCGGCTGGACATGCCCGAGGTGCCGCCCCTCACTCAAAATGGAAACCCTAACCCAACCAAGCCATACCAACATAACAAAAGTGGTTTCTGTTAATGCTAACCTACAACTCCGAACACCATTGATGGGCTAACAAACTTGAGCGTCCATGTTGTGGTCATTTTCAAACGCGTCCTGATGTCCTTCAGGTTTTGTGGAAGTCCTACATCGACTTTGAGATTGAGCAGGAGGAGTTTGGGAACACGCGGAACCTTTACAAGAGGCTGCTGCAGCGTACCCAGCACGTCAAGGTGAGTCCCGTGGCCCTTTGCGCCACCTTGGAGGCACAAACGACGCCTGTCGACCGATTGGCTTTCCGGCGGCAGGTTTGGATCAGCTACGCCAAGTTCGAGTTGTCGCTGGAAGGTGGCGAGCGGCAGCGCAGGTGCCGGCAGATCTTCGAGGAGGCCAACAAGAGCCTGAGGAGCTGCGAGGAGAAGGAGGAGCGACTCATGTTGCTCGAGGCCTGGAAGGACTTCGAGGCCGAGTTCGGCTCGGACGGCGACGGGGAGCGCGTCGCCAAGCTGCTGCCCGAGAAGGTCAAGAAGAGGAGGAAGCTCACGGCCGAAGACGGGGTACGCCGACTAGCGCTCTTAATTGCCAGCAAACCCTTGAAGCCTTTCAGTCAGGGATATTGGTCGGATATTCTTTTTTTTTTTTTTCTGTTTCATGTGGAATGAAAAGGATATTTTCAACGTTATTAAAAAAAAAAAAAAAAAAAAAGCTTTTTATGAAACGTTTTGTTTCAATATTTTTTAGCATTCAAATTGGGAATGTGTTTTAACCCATTCATTCAGGTTTGTGTCAGATGTTTTGTTATATATCTATATACAGTAATATATATATCTTCCTTTTTTGGGAGAGGTGGGCAGTGTTAAACACAAAGTTACAAATCTTGTTTGGTATCAGTGGAGTTAAAGCTCGTCCCATAAGAGGAAGTGTTTCTGAATAGTGTAGATGCCGTTTTCCTTTTGTATAAGCGAGGAGGAAATCAAATGATGTCCTTTCTGCGTTTGTATTTTCTTTGCGGCGGCAGTCGGACGCGGGCTGGGAGGAGTACTACGACTACATTTTCCCAGAGGACGCCGCCAACCAGCCCAACCTCAAGCTGCTCGCCATGGCCAAGATGTGGAAGAAGCAGCAGCAGACGGCCGACGACGATGACCGCGACCAGAACCAGGACCTTCGAGAAAAAGCTCTGAGGAACGAGGAGATGGCCGCCGAGGCCGCCACTGAAGACCCGCCGCAAAACTGTGAGGCAAGCCAAGTTACGCAAGACGAGAACACCTTTGACGACCGAGACGACAGCAGCAGCAGCAGCGAGGAGGACGAGGAGGAGAAACGGGACGGGGACAAGAAGGATGTGGACAAAAAGGACAACAGAGGTGATGAGGATCAAGGTTAGAGGTCCCCACGCCCCCCGCCGTCTTTGCGGTGACTCCAACACAGTCTGTTTTTTTTTTTATACAACAATAGTTTATTTTAGAATGTACAGCAATTAAAGACCATTTGAAGCTTTTTTTTCTATTTTGTTCTGTGGCTCTCCGGCATACGACAAAAGCAGTTTGAGCATTTGTTCCACATCCTTGCTGTTCAGCTTGTGGTCCGTCTACCGCGTCCTTCCAAGTAAGACATACTACGTGTTTCAAGTAGAGGTGCAACCATTGATTCATCATCATTTAGCACCCAACGAATTCAGTGCCCCGACATGAAAGCTTTGTGTTTCATCAGATATGCACAAGCATAAATTCATTCATTCACTTACTAGGTTGGTCCATCAGAAAATCGTCAAAACGTTGAGTGTTTTCCCAAGTAAAAGCCGAAAGAATGTTAGCTAATGTCTCCGTTGGATTGAACACAAAAATGAGCCGTCTGCGTTGAGGGTTTGACCGTTGAAAGGCTGAAATTCCGATGATTTGGACAACTAATCGTTCATCACCACAGTTAGTTGCTGAATCAGTAGATCACCGATCAGTTGTCGATTAACGCGTTGCAGCTCTACCAGGGAAGCCAAAGCATGCACCAGTACCGGGCCATCAAGGAAATGGCGGCGACGCTCAAAGGCCTTCCAATTGGCGTCTACCAGTGAGCCACAAGCGTGGTTATTCAATGTCCTCAGGCCTGACGGGATGCGGCAGCGGGATGATGGACTTCTTCTCGGTGTCTCGGGACAACGCTTTCCTCATGTCTGCGCGGGGAGACGCGCACACACACACAATGTCACAGGACTACCATCGTCACGATGATGATGACGACGACCATCTAAACCCACCGTAGGCATCCTCGTCCGGCTCGCCGTTGCTGGCCGAGTAGTATTCGATGACGGTCCTGTAGACGCTGTACCCCAGACGCTTGTACATGCTGACCGCCACCTGGTTGGACACGCGCACGAACAGGTCCACGAAGAAGCCGCCCTTCCTGAGGGACGACATCCACGTGCAAATAGGCAGATGTGATTTGACTCTCGGCTTGAAAATCGTCGGTCGGTGAAAGTGAAGCGGAACCTTTCTGAGATCTCCTCCAGCATGTCCATGAGTTTGGCGGCCAGTCCCAAGCGTCGGAACTCCGGCGCCACGGACAGCGCGGTGACGTGGCCGTGCCACTCCTCTCGGGCCACCGAGCCCTCCGCCTTCCCCATGACTGTGTGCACACAGCGGCAACAAGCACCAGACTTCAGTGTTGAGATTGCGATGGGAGAGCATCATTGACACGTTCCCTAAACACTACCAAGGGGGCTTAGAGTGGGCCGTTGAGTGAACTATGTCAGGCCACTATGTAAGCATTCCAAAATGGTTACTGGGGGGTCGGCCGATGATGACCAACTTACTGTAGCCCATGAGTTCGCCTCCGGGAGCCTCGGCAACAATGAAGTACTCGGGCCAGTGAGCCAAATACTGCAGGTAGAACGGGATCCCATACTGATGTCAAAGCTCAAGGAAAAAACAAAAAAAACAAAACTATTCCATTTCATCACATCACCTGTTGATGACACACAAACTTTCATCAAGTCCAAGCGCTCAGTTCATTTGAAGATTAAGTCCAAAAGGGTCATGGCAACTTGTAAAGCCCTCAGGGGTCAGACTCCTCAATCCAAGGGGGTTGACTGTCTGACTTATTTCTCCTCAGACAAGATTAGCTGAGGGGGGCATGATTTGAACTAAAAGCTGCCTCTCGCAACTCTGCATATTTAGTGTTTCAAAACATCTCCGTCAGTAGGCATTCATTTTGATTCTCATTTTTTTTTCTGTGTTCACTACCATGTTTGTGGTTTCTGTGATTTTCATTTTTTTCCTGTGTTCACTACCATGTTTGTGGTTTTTGTATTTGAACCATGTCAACCACTTGCTGAACACCTAACACTGACTTCCTACCGTTGTCACAATCGTCAACTGACAGGAGCTCAAAGGATACAGTTTCTGTCAAAGGGTCCAAGTTGCTGTGGAATCAAAGGTTCAATTTAGTGTCGTGGACCACTATCATGCATGCTTTAGATCAGTGGTTCTTAACCTTGTGAGAGGTAACGAACCCAACCAGTTCATATGCGGACCCACCGAACCCTTAGTGAAAAATAACAATATGATTCGAGAAGTGTTCCTTCAGTTTTGCCGGTGCGAGACTGGAGTTGCTCAACTTGGCATGCCAAATCAGGCATATAGGACGCCGAGTCCCATCACGTTCTGTGATGCATGTGAATCCAAATTGTACATATTCGTCCGACTACTTTCTTTTTTTTTTTGCTCGATGTAGCATGTGTTAAAACATTTAAAAAAAAGAAAAAAATCACCACGACGTACTATCACGACAGTCACACGCTGACTACTGGGCGAACTAAATTTCCCGCAGCACCGATTGGACAAGCAATGTAATGTGATCATCTGCAGCCAGTGACCGCCAAGCGGGTGTGCTAACTGAATGACATGCTAGGTCGGCTGTGTCTTCACCTCCAGGGCAGTCTTTGTCGAACCCAGGTTAAGAACCACTGCTTTAGTGTCTTGCAGTAACAACAGAAGTCACGTAAGCTACAGTATGTACCAACTACCGAGTCAAAGTGGCTCGTTTTTATTTACTGTCCGACAAACGAGGTAAATTCAAAATATTTGCAAATTGAAGCTAGTTAACCAACTTAGTCAGGAAGCCAATAAATCAATAAAACATGACTTATTGAGTGTCATGGTAGGTTGTCGCGCGGCGAACATAAAATGAGCCTTTGTGTGAACGGAGTTTAGTGCTGTCGAACGTCTCAGGAACACACGCGGATTAGCTTGATAGCGTTCACACGCATTGAACGTACAAGGTCACGAAACTGCAACATGAGCAAATTGATGAGTCTCTCGAAACAAGAACGTTTGCGCTTACATATTGTTGAATTTAAACAAATCGTCGCAGTTGAACGGCCGTAACGTCGTCATGTCGGCGTCCGTGAAAGGCAGCAGCAATCTCAGCAGCGCCCTCTGTCGGTGGGAGGACAGCAGTGTAAACTGCAATTCATTTTCTTAAAGTGCGACAGGCAAGTAAGTAAACAAGTCTTTAATTTATTGTATTTTTATAACTGTGAAAGCTTTATACAGCACTTTTATTTATTTAGGAATCTGGAAAATGTTGGATTTTGAAAGATGACGAGATCCTCTGTTAAACCCATCGACAGGATGTCACTTTGACGCAGGCCAAGGCCCTCTTGGTCATGCCAAAAAAAAACCCGACCATGTATACATAGTCAGGCGTTTTTTGCCGAATAAACGACCATGTATACAGTAGTAAGGCGATTTAGCCGAAAAAAACCTGACCATGGAAAGTAAGGCGTTTTTAGCCCGAAAAAAACGACCATGTATAGTAAGGTGTTTTTAGCCCGAAAAAAACGACCATGTATAGTAAGGTGTTTTTAGCCCGAAAAAAACGACCATGTATAGTAAGGTGTTTTTAGCCCGAAAAAAACGACCATGTATAGTAAGGTGTTTTTAGCCCGAAAAAAACGACCATGTATAGTAAGGTGTTTTTAGCCCGAAAAAAACGACCATGTATAGTAAGGTGTTTTTAGCCCGAAAAAAACGACCATGTATAGTAAGGTGTTTTTAGCCCGAAAAAAACGACCATGTATAGTAAGGTGTTTTTAGCCCGAAAAAAACGACCATGTATAGTAAGGTGTTTTTAGCCCGAAAAAAACGACCATGTATAGTAAGGTGTTTTTAGCCCGAAAAAAACGACCATGTATAGTAAGGTGTTTTTAGCCCGAAAAAAACGACCATGTATAGTAAGGTGTTTTTAGCCCGAAAAAAACGACCATGTATAGTAAGGTGTTTTTAGCCCGAAAAAAACGACCATGTATAGTAAGGTGTTTTTAGCCCGAAAAAAACGACCATGTATAGTAAGGTGTTTTTAGCCCGAAAAAAACGACCATGTATAGTAAGGTGTTTTTAGCCCGAAAAAAACGACCATGTATAGTAAGGTGTTTTTAGCCCGAAAAAAACGACCATGTATAGTAAGGTGTTTTTAGCCCGAAAAAAACGACCATGTATAGTAAGGTGTTTTTAGCCCGAAAAAAACGACCATGTATAGTAAGGTGTTTTTAGCCCGAAAAAAACGACCATGTATAGTAAGGTGTTTTTAGCCCGAAAAAAACGACCATGTATAGTAAGGCGTTTTTAGCCCAAAAAAAACGACCATGCATATTCAGGCATTTTTAGCCCGAAAAAAAATGACATAGTATAGTAAGGCGTTTTTAACCCGAAAAAAATCGACATTGTATAGTAAGGCCTTTTTAGCCCGAAAAAAACGACCATGTATAGGAAGGCGTTTCTAGCCTGAAAAAAACGACCATGTAAAGTAAGGGTTTTGAGGTCGAAAAGAACGACATGGTATAGTAAGGCGTTTTTAGCC